CGCCGTTCCAGCACGAGTAGTAGAAGCACAGCAGAGATATCAGCACTCAAAGAGCAAAACCAAAGGCTGCAGGAACAAATTGATAGTCTAACCTCGAACTTGTCGCTAACGATTCAGGAGGAGATAAGGAAGCTATATGGTGGTAACCTTCCTCGACGAGGCGATGATGGAACGGGAGGGGCAGGGCAGCCCGGGATTTGTTGAGACATTTACGACCTTAGCTTCCTCCATTTTAAACACTTGACACTAACATTTTAGTATTTATTGTTAGAACATAATGAATTATGTTACATTTGCATTTGAAGTTTGCATTAATCTAGATTTGAATTATCAATTTGGGTGTTGAAATCTTGTTTGGAATTATGTGTGTGAAAATTGATTGTGTTTTGCCCCCCACACCTCCCCATTTTAATAGCTAGTGCCAAAAAAGGGAAATGCTGGTTCTGTGAACAGGTCATCTGCGACGGAAAGGGCCGCTGCTATATATGTCGCTGCTCTGCGACGGAAGGTTCCGTTGCTGAGCCCGTTGCAGATCTGCGACGGTTTAATATTTCCGTCGCAGATTTTGTTTGATGGAAAAAATTAAAAACCCGTTGCAGGTCCATCGCAGATCTGCCACGGAATGTAAAGTCCGTCGCAGATATTTAATCTGCCACAACTTTTCTGCGACGGAAGAACTTCGTAGCAGATCCATCGCAGATTAGAAATCTGCCACGGAATTTTAAACTCTGCCACGAATTTTTTCCGTTGCAGATCAGAAATTTTCTTGTAGTGAGGATACTTTATGTACAAGGGTTATGACTCAACTTGTTGGAAGAGAATATTCCAAACTACAGCTATTGGGCAAGAGCATACTGTTGAGGAGAATGGGGATATTAAGGGCCTGTTCTTTTGGAATTGAACTCTTAACTTCCAGTTTTTTCTAGTTCCTTCCAGTTCTTTCCAGTTTCTTCCAGTTCCTTCCAGTTTCTTCCAGTTCTTCCAGTTTTTTCCAGTTTCTTCCAGTTTCTTCCAGTGTTTTCCAGTTTCTTCCAGTTGCTTCTAGTTTCTTCCAGTTTCTTCCAATTTCTTCCAGTTTTTCTTGTTTTTTTCCAGTTTCTTCTAATTTCTTCCAACTATATTTATTTTCTTCAAATTCTTTCTACTTTCTGACAAATCACTCTACAAAAAATATATTATTATTATTCTTATAGTTTTTTAATTACAACTTTTATGTTGATTACTATAGTTTATAAATTATTTCATTTTGTCATCTCACTATTTTTATGATTCATATTCATAATTTTTTTCTTCAACTTTTTAATATGAATAATACCATTTTTTTGTATATTAATCTACAAGAAAAAATAGGAAACTATTTAAAAAATTATGGTTAAATAGTTATATACACCCTCCGTCCCTAAATATTCACAAAATTTGCTTTTTCAACAGTCGCGGGAACTTTTGTTTATTTCGCTGTTTTCATTGATTATTTGATAAAATAAAATATTCTTGACACCTCTTATTTCGAAGAACTTTTCATGTAGTTTTTTAATATGTAAATTTTATTTTTTATTTCTATACCAATATGTAAATAAAATGAATTGAAAAAATTTAATATTTTGCCTCGGGAATACAAAGGTGGCAAATAATTTGGGCCGGAGGGAGTAAAATATTTTTTAATCTAAATTTATATAAGGTAAACATCAATATTTTAATCTAAAATATAGTACCTTCAATTAAGTTTAACTACATTGTAGAATATTACGTGCTAGTTCATCTCTAATTATTTTTTTAAACTATGTTTTGATGTATGAAAATAATATTCGATATTTTTTTTTTATTTTAAAGACAATCATTTAGATAATGTAATAACACCACCACTACCACCACCACCACCACCACTAACAACAATAACAATTATTATATATTATTATTATTATTATTATAGAAATAATAATAATTTATATCAACAAGAATCAGAATGAGAATAATTTAAAACCACACATAAAAAATTTTTAAAAACTTTTTTTAGATTTTACAATTTATTCTAGTTTTTTTCAGTTTCTTTTAATTTTTTCCTGTTTTTCCAGTTTCTTCCAGTTTCTTCCAGTTCCTTCCAGTTCCTTCCAGTTTCTTCCAGTTTCTTCCAGTTTCCAGCTCTTTTTTTCCAGTCCTAAAGAACAGGCCCTAAATGGGTAAATGGGGATTTCACTTTCAAGGAAGCCTATACAGCAGTTTCAGATCACAACAATGCTTCCCTATCATTCAAGTATGTTTGGAACAATATTCAGATCCCTAAAATCAGATTGTTTCTGTGGAAAATTTTGTCACATATTCTCCCATTTGACTACAATCTTAACAAGATTGGATACAACCTACCTAGCATGTGCTTGAGCTGTAGAGCTGACTCAGCTACTGAAGATCATACTCTGCTCAATGGATGCAAAGCTAGACTGATCTCGCTTCACTTTGCAAACCAATTTAAAGGGCCTAAAAGAAGAGAAGGGGTTAATATCATCCAACACTTTTTGGAATGGTGGTTCATTGCAAATTCAAAAACCCTGATAAGCATGCTGCGCCTAATCATACCGGGATTCATAACATGGGTCCTATGGAAAGATTACAACGCACAAAAGTACGAAAAGAAAGGGAAAGAGACTCACCTTCTCATCGCTGAAATCATGACTAATCTCCAAACCTGGTACTGGGGGTGCAGCAAAGCAAGGCGGAAAGCTAAAAGTCACGATCCGGATCTGCTTCAACTACCCTCTCGCTGCAATATGAGCCGAAGAAGAGGAGAGAATACGCAGTTGTTGTGCATCACCTAAACACACACGCAGGAGGGAGAAGGAAGAAAGTTGACTACATCTAGAAATGGAGCTTTTCTAGTTGACTTTTACTTGTTTCCTATTGTGAACAAATTATTTTGGACCTAATTGTGGGCGGCCGACCCCACAGTTGTACAAATAAGTTGCATTATTAATAAATTGGGTGAGGTTCCCATGACTCACCGCACCGATTTTGGTGTTTTTCAGGGATTTAAAAAAAATCTTAGGTTACTCCTTTTTTTATTTCTTTGTTTTTCTTTGTTTTTCTTTTTTTAATCTTTTTTAAATTGTTATTTTAAATTTTTTTTATAAAATCGAATAAAAATTCAAAATTGTTTGTATTATATTAAAATAAATGAAATAAAATATTTTCTAAAAAAGAAAAAAAAGAGTAATGGCAAAATAGGAAAAAACGGTAATGGAAAAATTAGAAAAAATACATTTATTAACACTTATGAATGAAATATTTGATAAAATGTCTCCTCCCAGTCATTATAACAAAATATAAGAACGTCAGTTGTCTTCTAGGAAAACCTAAGAGTTATTTCGAAAAAATTTGCTTTACCTGTAAGTAATTAAGTAATTTTCTGGGTCTTATCTCCTATTCAAACACTCCTCTTTTCATTTAATGAGTATAAAAAACATGAAGGCCTATAAAGAAAGAAAGGGGCGGATACGGAATAGAGGCAGCCGACCTGGGGTTTTGACCCTAGGTCCGGCGCGGCGTCCGGTGATGCTAATTCTAGTGGCGACGTCTGGGCGGCGGACATGGATGGAGCAACTGATTTTGGCAGTCCTTTCTCTTCTTTGGCAGTGGACGAACAAGGCATCAAACTCAGATTAGGGGAGCCTGTCCTTCACTCTTTTTACTCCTAATTTGTTTTTACTTCTTTAAAAATAGGGTTAATATTTGTTAATTTCTTGAATTGATAAATTTGACTTCCAATATTTAAGTACGTTTATTTTCAATTTCATGTTTTTTTTTAATTTTTAAATTAATATGTGTTGAATTGTTTGAGTGTTGATGTTGAATTGTTCAAATTTGATTTATTGATTGATTATTGTCTCTGAAATTATAAAACCTTGTTAGACCAAATTGTTTGACAAAAAAGATTGAATCTTTGATTAGGTTGAATTTGTTGAAATAATTTGACTTGAAGAGATTTTAGCTCTACGTTACTGTTAACTCTAAACTCAAAAAGGTGTTCTCAGAACTGGGCTTTGTTTATGCTTGAAATTGACTCAATTAGGGGTGCACGCCTAATCCAATTTAAATTGATATTCGTTTAAAGTCCAAAGTGCTTTAAATAGTCGAACTTTTCTAGAAACTAAGTGTCACTTCATTAGTACTTGGCTGCCTCATTTAGTGATTTTTGTTAATCAAGGTTCTCGAACTGATTTTATTAAATAACCGTAGTGTTACTGCAAAGTCGTTATGGTGATGTTTTCCAAAAATCTTAATGCGCTATTCTTATTAGTAACTTAAGGGTTGGTCTTTGGGTTGCTAAGGATAGTGGGGTTTATAGTTAGAGTTGGACTTAACATGGGCTAATATGAATGAGAGAATAGGGAAGAACCGTTGGTGGACCTCTTCTTCAGCCTAACCCTGAGTTTAATTAGCAGTTTAATTTCAGAATCAAGGCCTAATAAATTAAAGAATCATATTTGTTTAGTTTATATATTCTATTATAAGCTATTAGTATTTTCAAAATGGTTTAAGTTGATTATTACTGTCTACGTTTTATAAAGTTTATTGTGTGATTTTTGTGTGTGTTTGTTTTCTCCTTGAGTGTCTTCTGAGTTCGGTTTGCTGCTATGGTTTCATCCTCGTATCTGTTATTTGTTATCCTTTATCTTTATTTTATTTGCATTTTTATATTTTTAGAATTATCATTCAAACTCCCCATATCTATATGTTTTGATGAATATTGAACCATAAAGAGAGTTAAAAATTAAGGAAATAATAATTTAATTTGTAGGTACTACGACACCCCTAACAAATTTTGGCGCCGTTGTCGGGGAAAGATTAACTTTTTATGCAAATCAGTTTGCTATGTTTCCAAAAAAAATGAAAAACACAAATAAAATATAAAACAAAAAAATCAATAAAGAATGAAAAGCCAAAAAAATAAAATTTAAAAACCCTGAAAAAAGATATCAAACAAATTAAACAAATAATAATAATAATAATAATAATAATAATAATAATAATAATATTAATAATAATAACAAAGAAAAACTCTAACGTCAATGCTTTGACGAATGAAGAGTTGTACACAAAAAAAAAGACTATAAATGGAATTTTAATAAATAAAAAAACGAGTAGTACACTAACAATACGGTAAAAATATCACCAAAACCTAAACAAAGAAACAAGAACTTCCGGTTGCAAAAAAAAAAAAAGGAAATTACTTTAACGAAACAACAACAAACCAACAAATAGTCAGTACAAAAAAAAACTAATGAAAATAGAAACTGAACACAAAATTTGTATTAAGAAAAAAAAAACAACAGCAAAAAATCAAATAGAAAAACTTAAAAATTCATAACTAAATGATGAATAAAAAACCAAGTCAACTAAAGAGAAAAAAAACATGAGTCCAAACTGAAAAAAAATCACAAGATAAATTGAACTAAAAATATCTTAGAAGAGGTGAGATTATAAAAAAATTTAGAGAAAATATTTTTAAAGTAAAAGTCACATTAAAAACTAAAAAAAGAAAGATGATGAAAAAAATTGACCTTCTCTAAAAAAAATTTGAGTAAACAAATTCAAGTAAAAAAACTTATTTTAGTAAAGGTTGACAAAGAATCATTTTCCAAATACTCTTTTATGTGTTGGAGTCTTTGATTGTTATTCACGCTCTTAAAGTAGTCACCTCACACCACAATATCTAGTTTTTCAGAAACCTTGTCACTTTTTTAAAAATAATGTTGCTAGAACTTAATGTGTTTACTTGGAAAATTAATTTATGAGTAATACTAAAACTAGTTTATATTGTTTACCTTGACCTTGTGATTCCCTATTTGGTTTTGTTTGGAGTTTTGTTTTGAGTGATCACTGGTTGATAAGAATACAATATGGATTATACTCTCCATATTGCATGTCCCGAAGCAAAAGAAAAAATCTAGCCAAAGACACTAAAAGAGGGCAGCTTATTGGGAGGCAATCCAGATATTTAAACTTTTATTTTTATGCATTTGCTTACTTTTTTCTTTTCTTTTATTCTCGTCTTTACTTAGAATTTATCTGCCTTGTGTCCTTAATTGTCATATCTTATGATCCTCACCTATCATTCTTGCATCTGTTTTATGATTCTATAGCTACATGTTCCATGTTTTTATATATTTCATCTTGTATGTGCATAAGTTCATCATTTTTATATTACTTACATGCATTGAGGACACTGCATGATTTAAGTGTTGGGAGACGCTTCTGCATTTAGTTATGCATATTTTAGGGAAAAAATTTTGTTTGCATGTTTTTATACACATACTAGGAGCATGAAGTGGGTAGAAATAAAATTCATTTCAAGTCAAATTTTGCATTTTAGATGCAATTTGATTATAAAAAAAGTAATATTTAAAAAGTTTTTAAAGAAAACAATAATCTTTCACAAAAAAATCTATAAGAAAAAGAGAATTTCAAGAAAAAAGTTTGAAATCATAATAGTTTTAAATCTTTTAGCACTTTTAAGTGTTTGTATTTTTGCATTAAATTGAAATTAAATTTGTAACAAATATGTTTGAATTTCTTTAAAAATGAGTTCGCTATTATAAAATTTAAATCATTTCTTTTAATTCAAATTTAATTAGAATTCATTTTTGTTTAATTTCATATCTTTTACAGAGTAATTACTTAAGTTCAATGTGCACAATTTGTTTAGAAATACATGGAGCAGTTTTCCAACTAACTCTTTTTGTCCTAAGTTTCTATCCAAGTAAAGTTAGTATTAAGAAAATATTTTTCTCTTTCTCAATTTTGGTTATTTACATATATTTCAAAATGCTGAAATGAATAAATGTATATATTGGAACACCATCTTAGGTTGACATGGGTGGCACGGCACCTTTGTTCTCTTTAGCAATAGATCCCAAAAGAAAGTGATGTTGTGTATGGAGAAAACCTGAGTTGGAAGAGCAAAACCCGTTTTGGGCCGTACGAATCTTGTCCATAACCAGTTTAAAAATTAAAAGAACCGACGTCGTTGAGCCAAAAAAAGCAATAAATGGCTAGGAAAAAAGAAAAAAAAGAGAAAAATAAATAAATGAGTAAAAATGTTGTTTGAGAACTCGAGTTGATACCCTCAGAATACTTCGTTATTTAGGTCCTGGGCTATTTAGAATGGGCCTGGGGTAGCCTGGTTGAGACTCGCTACACGGGTCAACTCAAACAATAAAAATTAAATAATGAATGAAAGTATTAAATAAAAGGTTTCCAAATTTTGGAAAAGAAAATAAATTTTCTTGAGCTTTTCTTTACTTGATTGTTTCTTAGGATTTCTAACCACTTTTTGCTGCTCTATTTATTTCTTTTAAATTGTTCTGAGACCTTAGTTAATTCAAAGTTTTGACATTAAATAAAAGTAATTTCTACTTAGCTTTGAAGTGAAAGAATTATTTTAAAATTTAAAGAAGCAAATTGATATTTACAATGTTTATTCTATTTGGTACGTGATTAATTTCTAGTTAATGTTGCATGCACCACTTTAGTTTGTTTTGAGATAGAGAAATTGTTTTGAGTTCTAATTTCAACAAATCGAAAAAGATGTCAATATCTAGTTTGCACGAGGGCGTGCAAAAGCCTAACTGTGGGGGTATTTGTTAAGTCATAAAATGTCATATCTTCATTTCTTAGTACTTTTAATATGATTTATATGTATTTTATACTTAAATGAGCATGTTTTGTTCTATTTAGCATTTTAGGCCATTGTTTACTTTTTATAGATAAAAAGCATGAATTTGAGTATATTTATATTCTAGAATTATTTTGGAGTATTATTTCTTCTTGACATATTTTTCAGATATACTTTGGAGCTTAAAAGCAATGGAAGAGAGTGAAGATTGGGCCAAGCCCATATATCAAATTGGCCCATCATCCAATTGACCCATTTATTAAAACAAGCAAATGCAAAAAGGAAATAAAAAAAGATAAGAAAAAGAAGCCCTTTTGAACTCAAGCGCAGCAAGCAACGGAAGGGGTCTTCATCTCCTATTCAAGCACTCCTCTTTTCATTTAATGAGTATAAAAAAACCCACCTTGGTTCCCATGACATTGTGGGGTGCCATTGAAGGGGTGGGGTGGTGTGTTCGGATCGAGCGGGGTGGAGGGGTTTACCAGAAGGGTTAGGGGAGTAGGAACCGTATGAACGGGGCACCGAAGCACCCCATGTCATTCCATGACATTGGTTCCCAATGTCATGGGAACCTTGCACAAAAAAACATAAAAGCCTATAAAGAAAGGGGCGGATACGGAGACAACGCCGACCTAGGGTTTCAACCCTAGGTCCGGCGCGGTGTCCGACGATGCTAATTCTAGTGGCGACGTCTGGGCGGCGCACATGGATGGAGCAACTGATTTTGGCAGTCCTTTCTCTTCTCTGGCAGTGGACGAACAAGGCAGCAAAATCAGATCAGGGGAGCATGTCCTTCACTCTTTTTACTCCTAATTTGTTTTTACTTGTATAAAATTAGGGTTTAGATTTGTTAATTTCTTGATTTGATAAATTTGACTTCCAATATTTAAATACATTTATTTTCGATTTCATGTTTTTTAATGTTTAAATTATATTATAAGCATTGAATTGTTTGAATGTTGATGTTGAATTGTTCAAATTTGATTTATTGATTGATTATTGTCTCTGAAATCATAAAACCTTTTAGCCAAATTGTTTGACAAAAAAGATTGAATCTTTGATT